GGTTACATCTCAAAGACCTTTCCTGACTACCCCCTTTAAAATGCCTTCTCTGGCTGGGTATGGTGGCTCATTCCTATAATCCCAGAACTTTGGGAGGTCAAGGTGAGAGGATTGCTTGAGCCCATGGGTTCGAGACCCGCCTGGGCAACTTGGCGAGACCTCAGTTCTACAATAAATCAAAAAATTAGCCGGGCGTGATAGCATATGCCTGGAGTTACAGTTACTTGGAAGGCTGAGGTGGAAGGATCACCTGAGCCCGGCAGGTCGAGGCTGCAGTGGCTGTGACCATGCCGCTGCACTCCAACCTGAGCGACAGAGTGAGACTCCAACTCAAAAAGTAAAAATTAAAAAATTAAAAATAAATAAAATGTCTACTCTGTCTTCTCTATTCCCTCACCTCACTGTCCTCTTCTTTATAGGGCTCATCACCACCTGAATGTTTATTGCCCAACTGCCCCCACAATGAGTGCAAGCTACATAAGAATGATGTTGACGATCTTGTTCCATGCTGCATACCCAGTGCCCAGAATAGGCATGGCACAGAGTACTCACTCAATAAATATTTGCTGCCAGGCATGGCAGTGCATGCCTATAGTCACAGCTACTCAGGAGGCTGAGGTGGAAGGGTCTCCTGAGCCCAGAAGGTGGAGGCTGCGGTGAGCCACGATTGTGCCACTGCATTCCAGTCTGGGCAACAGAGTAAGACCTCAACTCAACAAAAAAGGAAGGAAGGAAGAAAGAAAGAAAGAAATACCTGAGCCTTTTAAAGGCCAGGCACAGTGGTTCACACCTGTAATCCTAGCACTTTGGGAGGCCAAGGTGAGAGGATTGCCTGAGTTCGGGAGTTCGAGACCAGCCTGGGAAACATGGTGAGACCTTGTCTCGACAATAAATCAAAAAATTAGCCAGGCATGGTGGCATGTGCCTGTAGTCTCAGCTACTCAGGAGGTTGAGGCAGAAGGATCGCCTGAGCCCAGGAGGTTGAGGCTGCAGTGAGCTGTGACGGTGCTATTGCACTCCAGCCTGAGCAACAGAGTGAGACTCCAACTCGATATATTTGCTGAATGAATGGAGTAAGTTGGAGAGAAAAGCTCCATGTACAAGAATGAAGGAGGCATGGTGATGTAGGAGAAGTTATTTGGAGTCAGACAGACTTGGGCCACATCTTTTTTTTTTTTTGAGTCAAAGTCTCACACTGTCACCCAGGCTGAAGTGCAGTGACACTCCCACGGCCAATGCAGCCTCAACTTACTGGGCTCAGACAATCCTTTCACCTCAGCCTTCCAAGTAGCTGGAACCCCAGGCATGTACCACCATGCCCAGCTAATTTTTTGATTTACTGTAGAGATGAGGTCTCACCAAGTTGCCCAGGCTGGTCTCGAACCCCTGAACTCAGGCAATCCTCTTCGCCTCCGCCTCCCAAAGGGTTGCATCTTCATAGCTCTATTTTACCACAATCTTTTCACATCTGATCTCATGTGTGATGTTTAACCACTCTGGGCCTCACTTATACCTCATCTGTAAAATGAGACTCACACTGACCTCTTGAGGTCACATTGAAGATTAAATGAGATCATGCATGTGAAAGCACATGATATTCTTTTTGGTTCACAAGAAGTGTCTAGTGAGACGTCTTAAGACTGACCTGAAGCCGGGCTCCATGGCTCAGCCTGTAATCCCATGCCTTTGGGAGGCTGAGGTGAGTGGATTGCCTGAGCCCGTGGGTTCGAGACCCGCCTGGGCAGCGAGACCTCATCTCTACAATAAATCAAAAAATCAGCCAGGTGTGGTAGCGCATGCCTGTAATTCTGGCTACTCGGAGGAAGGCTGAGGTGGAAGGATCGCCAGAGCCCAGCAGGTCGAGGCTGCGGTGGCACTCCAGTCTGGGCGACAGAGTGAGACTCCTTCCACCTCAGCCTTCCTCAAAAAAAAAAAATGACTGACCTGAGATAGCTCTTCAGGTCCAGCGATGTCTGGGGACAGTTTTTCTCAAAGGTAGAACACAGGCCTGTGGGTGGATGGAAGAATTGAGGTGATTCGGGGACATGGCTTTGAATAACTCTAAATCATACTCTCATCTCCATTTTCTTTTAGTTTCCTGATCATGTTAAAGAGAAAAACTCCCTTTCCTCACCTGTGTGTGACTGGACATCTCTCTCACACTTGCTCATCTTTCTTTTTTTTTTTTTTGAGTTTAGAGTCTCACTTTGTCACCCAGGCTAACGTGCAGTGGGATACTCATGGCCACAGCAACCTCGACCTGCTAGACTCAGGTGATCCTTCTGCCTCAGCCTTCCAAGTAGCTGGAGCTACAGGCACACACCACCACACCCAGTTACCTTTTTGATTTCTTGTAGAGACAAGGTCTCACCAAGTTGCCCAAGTTGGTCTCAAACCTGTGGGCTCAGGCAATTGTCTCACCACAGCCTCCCAAAGTGTTGGGATTATAGGCGTGAACCATCACACCTGGCCACTCATTTTCCTTTTTAACAAAGAGCACAGGAGCTGCTGCCTTACAAAGCAATACCATGCCTTGCTATGTTTTCTCAGTACTTTTTACTTATGGCTAAGTGATCCTGGCTTTCCCCTTATAGGACTGATACAAAGCACTCACTTAGAATATTTTTCGGTAGGAAAGTAAGCTAGTTTAAAGAAAATTATTAGTAGTAGGGGAAGGAGAGGGCAGATATCCAGTATAGTGAGGGTGGAGTCCAGTGAAGGAGTTTGGGAAGGAGTATGAGTCAGCTGGTAGCTACCCGGCCCTCCTCCTGTCCTGTGCCCCCAACCCATGGAAAAAGGAAGCAGCTGTTCAGGCGCTGGTGTCTCCGTCACCACTCCTGGGGGCCCAGGTTTCTCCTGCAGTCCCCTGACCTCACACATAGCCCCAGCGCAAAGCCAAAATCAATTATACCTGGGGAACAGCTGGGGCTTTGAAAAGTAGGAAGAGGTATGAGACGCTGAAATGACAGAAGACGCTAGGGAGCTGGGGCTTAGGAATGAGGCAGGTCTGGGCTTGACTCCATGTCCTACTAAATGCTCACTACTTCCTCTCTGCACCACCAGTTTCTATGTTTCTATGTCTCTAGACGGGGTAGTAAGAAGACCTGTCTCCCAGTGCTGTATGAACCTTAAAGAGCTTAGTCCAGTGCTGGACACACAGGAAACCTTTGATAAACTGGTGTTGCAATTATTATTATTATTGTTATTATTGTTATTATTTTGAGTTGGAGTCTCACTCTGTCGCCCAGACTGGAGTACAGTGGCTGCTCCCGGCCACCGCAGCCTCGACCTGCTGGCGATCCTTCCGCCTCAGCCTTCCAAGTAGCTGGAACTATAGGCGCGCACTACCATGCCCGTCTAATTTTTGATTTATTGTAAAGAAGAGGTCTTGCCAAGTTGCCCAGGCGGGTCTCGAATGCACGGGCTCGGGCAATCCACTCACCTCAGCCTCCCAAAGGCGCAGGATTACAGGCTGAGCCACCAAGCCCGGCTGCAATTATTATTATTACCATCACCATTATTATCATCATTAAAGAGTCAGAGATGGAATAACAGGGAAGCAGGAGCCGAGAAGGACAACAAGGATTGTGTTTACATGGTAAGAAGTGTCAGATGTTACAAGCTGGGGTGCAGGTATTGGGGTGGAGAGGGAGAGAGAGAGAGATTGACTGAGAGACATTGAGAAAGGCTAATGGAAACTGGCCCCTCCTAGCCAGGCGATGAGTCCCAGTGATACAGGTGGGGCCAACAGTGCCAAGTGGGTGGACCTGCAGTCCCTGGGAAGAAAGAAGCAGCCACACTTGCTGAGCAGGGACGAGACCTGGGGAGGCTGCTGAGTCCCGCACCCTGAGCTGGGACTGGGGAGAGGCCTGGCGTGCTCGCCGATGGCTCCTGACCGCGTGCTGCCCCCTCCCTCTGGGCCAGGGCTGTCCTGGCCCTTGGGAGGCTGGGGGGTGGGTGGGGTGAGCTGGTGTTGTCCCACCCCTTATAGGAGGCTGTGAGCTCACACTCACACACGTGCCTCCTCCAGGGACAGGTAAACAGGATGGATGCCTGGGTCAGCTGCTCCCTCCCTTGGCCTTTCCCTCCCACTCGTTCCCTGGGGGTGGCTGGCCCACCCAGCTCCTCAGTTCCGCACCCAGCTTTCTCAGCCAAGAGCAGCCTGAATGCTCACTGAAACACCCTGGTGACCACCCTCAGGGTCATGGCCCTTTTCTAACAGCCGGGGTCTCCCGTGAGGGCTCTCCCCAGGACCCCAGAAGGTAAAATGCAGCCCCATGGCTATAAGTCTGTCTCTGTGGGCTAGAAGGTATGGAAGCATGGGAGAGCAGTCACCTTCAGGTGGCAATGCGAAAGGGGAGAGACAAGGGCCGACTGAAACTGAGAAAGGCTAAGAAAGGGCACTGGCCTCTGGTTCTGGTGTCCCTGAGCCAGGTTGGTGGAGGCTCAGGGTGGGGCCCATCCTGCTGGCTTCCCTGTCCTCGCTACGTGGTGGGGTCCTGCCTTCTATCCCTCTTTCCTAAGTCCCCTCCACCCCCACTGCCTTCAGGAGACACCAACAACCTATCTTCTCCTCAGATGCTCCTACCCCCACCCTGTGCCCCAAATTCCTGGGGTTGGGAAATCAGAACGCTTTTGCATCCATCTCATCCCGTTTCTCCCTCCCTCCCTGATGCACCAGCTCCCTCTCTGTTTCGACAGAGTCCCTCAGACTCACAATTACAGCACATTACCCTATCGGTGGCTGGACTCTGAGTCACTGGGGGAGGGACTTGGGCTGCCCCAGTATAAGGAGTAGTGACAGGGAGGAGGACTCTGGGAAGGCAGGGGACTCTGGGAAAGGAGAGAGAAGGCTGCAGACCTAGAGGGAGAGAAGAACAAGAAATTAGAAGGACAAGAACGCAGGAGGCCGCCCAGACGCAGAGGAAGAGGAAGGGCAATAAGTCGACTTGGGTGGGAAGAAGATACTCAGGAGAGAGAGAGGGAGAAAGCTGGCAGAGATGAATCTCCAGGGGTCCCTGGCCTGCCTCCTGCTGGCCCTGTATCTGGGCAGCGGGAAGGCTGGCCCACTGCAGGGTGGAGTGGAGAGTCTTGGAACAAATGTTGGAGAAGCCATTGGACGTGGAGTGGGAGATGCCATTAGCCAGGGAGTTGGGCAGGCCATTGGCAAAGAGACTGGAGGAGCAGCTGGTTCTGGAGTCAGTGGGGCCCTTGGCCAAGGGACCAGGGAAGCAGCTGCCTCTGGAGCCAGGGAAGCCACGGGCCCTGGTCTGGGGGATGCTTTGAACCATAGACTCGGGGAGGCAGCCCATGCTCTTGAGAACACTGGGAGTGAGGCTGGCAGACAGGCTGGGACTATCATTCGACAAGGAGCAGATGCTGTCCACAATGGCTGGCAGGGGATGCCTGGCAACAACGGTGCTTGGGTGAGTGGCTGGGAAGGTGGGTGTGAAAACGGGAGGCTAAAGGTGGCTGGGTTGAGAATCTTGGGAAACGGTTGGAAGGATGAATGGGTTTCTTATGGGCAGCTGTCTGGGACAGTTTCCTTCCGTGTTGTGCACCCTTCCTCGACGGCCCTGCAGTCTCTCTGCCTGGCCCTCTGTCTCGCTCAGGCTCCTCTCTAGCTTATGGTTTCTTGGCCTGCCCTCCCCCATCAGAGTCAGAGATGCTCACACTAAGTGCAGGTATGTTGTCCTTGCAGGGAACCAATGGCCAGCCTCCGTCTGAAGGCCATGGCATCTTTGGCTCTCAAGGTGGCTTTGGAGGCCACAGCCAGGGCAATCCTGGAGGTCCAGGGACTCCCTGGGGCCATGGACACCCTGGAGGCTCAGCAGGCAGCTTTGGAACCCACTCTCAGGGAGGCCCCTGGGATCAAGCAGGCAATGGAGGGTCATCGAACTTTAGAACCAACGCGCAGGTAAAGTCACCACTCCAGCCCTGACACTGGCCACCTCCCTCCCTTCAAGCCTACCTTGGATCCCACACTCAGTCTCACCCTCCCTGCAGGGAGCTGTGGCCCAACCTGGTTATGATTCAGTGAGAGCCAACAACCAAAATTCAGGGGTAAGAGGAAGAGCCTGGGGACAAAAGGGCGTCTGGGTACATCTGACAGAAAGTGGGGGAAAGACAGAGAGGAGAGACAGATGGGGAGGAGACGAACTGGGGTGAGAAGAAGACAGGCGGGAAGAGATGGGCCTGGGGTGGGGCCAGAAAGAAGGCAGAAAAACGAGGGGGGTGGGGAGAGGAAGTCAGACCATAAGGAGCAGGAGAGGTCAGGCTCCTAGAGCCAGCTGGGGCTGAGGTCTCTAAACTCACTGTCCCTTCTCTCCGCAGTGCACCAATCCTCCACCAACTGGCTCAGGAGGAAGCTCTGGCAACTCTGGGGTAAGAGAACGGCAACCCAGGCATTTTGCACTGGGAGGAGATGCAGAAACTCCATTCCCTTAGACTGTACAGGGACTATGCCTTGAGCAAGAAAGGAATGGGAGGAAGGACACAGTCCTGGTGTTCCTGCCTTTAGTCCTGGCTCTGCTTCCTTCCTGCCCCTCAGGGAAGCAGCAGCTCACAGTCAGGTGGCAGCAGTAGTGGCGGCAGCAGCAATGGAGGTGGCGGGAGCAGCAGTGGAGGTGGCAGCAATGGAGATGGCGGGAGCAGCCACGGAGGTGGCAGCAGCAACGGAAGTGGCAGCAGCAATGATGGTGGCAGCAGTAGCAGCAACAGTGGCTATGCTGGCAGAGGCAGTGGCAACGGCGGTGGCAGCACTGGTGACAGCAGCGGTGGCAACAGCGGCAGCAATTCTTGGTCCAGCTGGGTGAGTTTTGCACCTTTGTCAAAGGCAGAGATGGAGTGAGGCCCCTGCTAGTCCCTGCCAAGGAGATGGGCCCGAAGTTTTCTCTGAAAACTGTTGAGTGTGTGGCCTCATGGGCAGTTTTCGCTCTGGGGCTGCCTCAGCCACCCTTCCCCACCTCCCAAGCCCAACCAAGCCGTACTCCTGACATAGGAACTATCACTTTTTTCCGTCAGAGGTGCCCTGGCACTTCTGCTCAGTCCAGCCCTTATCTTTCACTCCGTGTCTGTGAGGAGGTTCTCCTGCCTGTCTAACTTCTAGTCTTGCAGTCACGTCCACTTGGCAAGTCTGAGTAGAGTTGAGAGTGGCAGAGGGAAGAAGAGAGGTGGACGCAGGAAAATATAACCCTTGTTTGGGAAGCTCCCAGGACAGCAGGGGGAGGACTGCACTCGTAGGGACTTCAAGTGGTGTGCAGAGCTGTGGTGTAGATGACATCAATAACTGCAGTGCACACATGAGACCCCTAATGACGGGCGTCAGGGTCAGGAGGGGAGTCACACTACCCATCATGTAGGATGCCTTACTGTTGAGCTCTGGGAGAGGAGACCTGATGGGAGGTTCCACACCTGGCTTCCTCCGGGTCTGGGGAAGGTCTCCGGCCAGAGGAGGCAAGCAATCACCACGAGCCCAGTAACGCAGGCTGCTTTGCTTACTGCCCCTTGGACTACCCCCATCTAGGACCAAAATTCGAGGGATTTAGGCCAAAGCGGCTCCAGCGCCCAGGTAAGAGCTCCCGGGGGGTCCTTTCCACTCGCTGCCCCTGGTGGCGGGAGCGCAGCTCGCGGCGGCAGAGGCCCCGGAGGCTGGGCGGCGCCTGCGGGGGGCGGGGGGGCGTGGGGGCGGCGGGCGCGCCCGCAGCTGGAAGTCCCCAAGCCGTCCCTCGGCCACCGTGGCCTTCCCCATGCTCAGGGTAACTTCCCTCGGCGACCA